CTAGTCCACCTCCCCTCTCCTCCGCTCCCCGATATAATGCAAGGTGCTTCAAAAAGAGGCGCTAAGTCCGGAACATTCTGAAAGTAGAAGCATTGCCGCCATGACGCTATTGCCGCTTCGGTTTCTAAAACAGCATCAGACACCACCTTTATTGCAAACAGAATAGCTAAGGTGTTCCACACTTTTCGTTGCTCTAAAACTTCATCAACTTCAATTTCAGAATCTTTTTAAAACGAAACTAGACCCCCTCTCCTTACCGAATAGTCTCGGAGAGAGTCTAAATCTCGAAACCCCGTCTAAGGAAAGGAAGGACGAAAGGGAGAGAAAAAAGTAAATTGTTTTTTTCGTTATATTCAAGTTTAGGGCTAAGGTAAAGAATGCGGAAATAGTTGTTTAGTGCCGGACGGTGGGAGGGATAATTGTAACAGCTGCGATAACTTCCGATCTGGCACACGGCAATGACGCATGAACACGAACGGAAATGACTTTGCACAGACTGGATTCAAACGTAACCGCAACCAGCTTCCTGGTTGATAAGGCTTTTGTACAAGCTACTGAAGATGCATAGAATCACCGCTGACAGCAAGGTCTTGCATAAGGCGGGTCGTCTCTGATGTTAACACTCAAAAAAGGACGATACAGTAATTAAGAAGAGGAACAAAAGTGAGAGAGGATGCATAATACCATCCCAAAATACAAGTGACCATTGACTAACAATGTCACAATCCTCCATGCGCGTTGGTAAGCTATTAGACAAATTTATTTTGAATTCGCTCGCTAAAAGGACTAGCACTTTATACATCGACTGTTTTCAATGCTGAGAAGTTCATTAACTTCAAATTTAGACCCAAAACAGAGTTCACGCAATTTCATAGTCGCGATTCATCGCCACAAGACAAACGACTTCAATGCATGCCGATCTTCTTGTATTTCGGTTGTGATAGTTTCCCAACTAATCGTGACTAACTGTCACAACTGAAATACAAGAAGACCGGCATGCAATGAACTCGTAACACTTGTCTTTTGGCGATGAATCACGATGAAATTGCGTGAACTCTGTCTTGGGCCTACTCGTATGGCAGGGAATGCGAAAAGAGTTGCCGAGTGCCGGCGAGGCAGAGGAATATTATCGACAGCTGCAATTATGTGTAACCTTTGCGCTCCACCGATGCATGAATACATGTGAAGATTACTTGCACAGACCGGATATGTGAAAAATAGGGCAGTAAAATTAACAACTGGGTGACAAACTTGTACACGAGTAAAGGCAGCTGCTGATATTTGTCAATGTCTTGCATAACCTTTGATCTGTTCATAAGTTTAGATAGAACCTGAGAATCACATCCAGTGACAACAAATCAAGTGTAAAAAAAGAAACACGGAATGTAATTCCAAAATATAAGGAGAAGCAACCATTTTCAAAAAAGTACGATGGAAGTATAAAAAGTATTTATACCAATTTTTTCAACCTTGCATGCATATGACTAATTCTACATGCTCAAACCTAAATTTTGAATCCAGTCCTTAGGAGAACCATGTGATTCATTGAAATTATGTTCGAGGCCTATAGTCCAGTCTGGATTGGCGGATTTCAGCATCTCGAATACATATTTGTAGTCGATTTCACCAGGTGTACTAGGTTCGTCACGAGAAGGCACTTGAGCCACTTGTATATAACCTCAAAACAGTCGTAATCAAATGTTAATTGAGACGAAAATGGATAATCAAACCGATAAGATCCTTATATTTCTTGACCGTTGCTGT